CTGATATATCGAGAGCTTCAAATTTAAGTTTGACCAGATTTGCCATGATAACTATAAAATAAAACATCAATGCTTAGATTCGAAAAATTACATATACAATCATTAATTCTTCAATACGTACAAAAGAACAAATACTAAACACATTATACAAAGTCCTAATACATAAAATTTAAATCCAACAGTACGATACATCATCTTGAAAATTAGCAAAACGTATATAACAAACAAGATAATGGTAATTATAAGTAATGGATCAAACATTTTTTTCTTATAAAGAAAAAATATATTTTTGAGTGTTTGGATTATGAAAATGAATTGTAGTGTTATATATAGATATTGATAAATAGCCGTTACAAAAATAACCGTTAACTAGCCGTTGGAAACAAATTTAATGATATAATGTTTGCTAATTAATCATTTATGATCATAAAATTCTAATTAATCATGTATTTTACCTTAAAAATTTACCGAGTCATTACATAAACAATTTAATAAATAGCAAATCAAATAAAAATGTTACTCCACACTACTCGATAAATCTTTCGGTGGATACAAGAATAATCAGTTATAAATTTCACGCCACATTACTGGGTAAACCATTTTTGTGGGTGTTAAGTATAAATAATAACATTTATTATAACTTGAAAAATAATACATAAGCAAATTTAATAATATCATATCACCACATATTATTGACTATGGCATAGCCTAATTATCCAATAATAATGGTAACGTGTATATAATATTATATTTAGTATACATATCTTGACTGTGGCAGAGCCTAACTTGTCAAGAATAATGGTAATATATATATATCTTTGACTGTGGCAGAGCCTAACTTGTCAAAAATAATAGTAATATGTATATATATCCTTGACTGTGGCAGAGTCTAACTTGTCAAAAATAATAGTAATATGTATATATATCCTTGACTGTGGCAGAGCCTAACTTGTCAAGAATAATGTTAATATGTACATATATATATTATTATTATTATATTCCTACCTTTCTTGACCGGGTAGAGCGCTCGTGCTGATAACGTGTTATAAAATGCGAGGAATATAAAGAACACAATGTATAAAAACTGGATAAATTACAACAAGTTTTTTTTCTTTCACTTCATTCACTTTCGTACACCAAGTGCTATACCTATATTGTCTTTTATAGGCAAAGTTGGGCACACAACTCAATACATTTAATATAACAAATGAAAAGATAATATTTTTTAATAGTGGTAAATCCACTTATTCATTATAAAAACAATAATATCATCATTACATTTATGCAAGCCTCAACAAAATTACATTTAAATATATCCTCGTTACAATTAAAAAGTCCTAAATAGACCATAATTATAGTGATGTTAGTCAAATCACGTTATTGAGAAAATATTTTTTTTTTGAAAAAAAAATGAAGTGTCAGACATACTTTTAAAAATATTTTATTATTTTAGAATAAATAAACGACAGTTGACAGTATAATAAAAAAATTTATTTAAAAATCTATGATGAGTTTACTAGCATAATATTTAGGTCACCTCGAATTCACATTTGAACTCTTGGTTAATGATGTTGGGGAACAAAATTAACCATTAACCAAATGTAATATAGCATTAAACACGAATAAAATCGCAATAGTAAAATATTGTTGGGTTATTTAGACTTGTTGTACTATTTCGATAAAAAAAGGACCTAAATAGTCGTATGTTACACTTAAAGTTCTCGGTTTTGTTTTGAAGTTATCGGATAGGTTTATGGGGCTGTCCATAGTTATCAACAAATGGTGTATTGACACGTGTCCTGCAATAAATACACATTTGACACGTGCCAATACATACAGTTATGGATGGCTCAATAAGGGAACCATCCGATGACTTCATAGCATTTATGTAAAGTTATTCTCAAAGTAGTTCGGGTTGGATTTACCATTGTGCGAAAAATCATCGCTTTATTCCAAGGACATTCGTATCAAATAACTTATAATCAAATTAGATAGTGGAAATGTACCTTAAATAGATTTATGGATCCAATCACCATGGAGCATGACTTGAATCACAAACACATCCTCAATCACGAACGGTGTCAGTTTTATAGTCTTACTCACCTAAATCGCATTATTCCTCATATGGGACCGTCAATTCACTCTCAATTCTGATGGAGATAAAAAAGGCCTATGTCGGATTTAATTGTGATGGGACCATAACCAATAATGACAGTATAGGTATAATGTAATGTAAATTGATAGGAATGTAATGAGTTGAAGAATGGAATAAATATGAGAAAAAAATGAAACAAGTTTTTTTATTGATGTGTTTGGTATGGAGAAGGAATATGACCAAAATGGAATGACATTATCAATCCATATTATCTTTTTTTTTTCGAAACGATAGAAGCACATATATATAAAACTCAAAGGAACCGAGTACAAGATACAACTGACAAACTGAAACAACACGAGACTAGAAACCTGAGAGGACACGCTCAAGGGCGGCCTAAAACCTCAACAAACTAAACACCACAGGAATTAAAAGAACAAACTAACTCTCCACTGCTAAAAGCCTAGAGAGTAAACAAAACAACAACAAACTAACAACAACCAGAAAAACAAGACCCTAACTAACAATTTGATGAGCAGGTAGAGCTATGTGAGCTGTTTTGACAATTTGATGAGCAGGTAGAGCTATGCTCTGAAAAATCCAGAGATTGCGCATTTTCCAAAGCCACCACAATAAGTAAGTAGTCAGCTGAATTCTGTGCTCTGCAACCTTACCATGACTGAGAGTGCACAAGTTAGACCACCAGCATTTGAAAGAAGAAGAGTAGGAATGCAGTCCATCCCATTGCACTGGGGCAATGCTCCAAACCTTAGAAGCAATAGGGCAGTGAAAAAGCAGGTGTTCCACAGTTTCTTCCTCACCTCCACAAGATTGACAGATAACATCAATTGCAAGACCTTTTTTCACCAAATTAGCTTTCACAGGAAGGGTGCCAGAAAGACATTTCCAGATGAAATGCTTTATCTTACCAAGAATTTTCAGTTTCCAACACCTATTAAACATATTATGCTGGCTATTATGTGAGAAGGAAGAACTGCTACTAGGGAGGTTTAGGGCAAGGATCTTCTGGTTATTGAGATGAGCATAAGTGCTTGCCACTGTAAACAACCCTTTTCTATCAAAAGCCCAGAAAGTTCTGTCTGCCATATCAGATTTCAGGTACAGATTTCAAGAATGGCTTTTCTGTCAGATGCATTGAACAATTGGGTAACTAGCCACTCATTCCAACCATTCCCTAAAGAATTGATCAATTCCTTGACCCATGTGATGTGGCCTCTAGCCAAGTCCAGAAGTTTAGGTTTAGAGGAAATGAGGGAAGGAACCCAATTAATATCATCAATCAAGGTAGAGGCTCCATCCCTTATTTCCACTCTGTACCCTTTTGCAACAATAGAAATAACAGAGAGCCAATTTGACCAAATCTAAGAGCAGTTGTTAGGTTTAACAACATAAAAAATAGAGCAGTTGGGAAAATCTCTGTCCTTAAGGACTCTGCTTACTAGGAGAGAGGGCTGAGTAATGATTCTCCATATTTGCTTACAAATAAGAGCACGGTTGAAGTTTTTGAGGTCTAAGAAACCAAGACCTCCTTCATTTTTGGGCAGAGAGAGATTAGACCATGATTTCCAGTGAATGCCTGATTCCTGTCCTTCACATTTCTTCCACCAGAAGTTAGAACACCATTTTGTTATGTCAGAGCATAAATTTGCGGGCAGCAAGAAGCAAGACATGGAGAAGATTGGAAGAGCTTGTAATACTGCCTTGATCAAGACTTCCTTTCCAGCAGGGGATAGCAACTGCCCTTTCCAATTTTGGAGTTTAGATTGAACAGAGTCCAGAACAAATTGAAATGCATCTTTCTTCGACTTGCCAATGCCCAAAGGCAATCCTAAGTACCTCGTTGATCTGTGTTAGGGTATACCTTGGAGAGCTGCACAGAGACTGTCTTTCAAATGTTGAGGGGTACTCCTATTGAAAAATGCAGCTGATTTCTGAAGATTAACCTTTTGGCCTGTAAACAATCTGTACTTTTCCAGAAGATTCAAAAGCAGATTGGCTTGCCCAACCTCTGCTTTACAAAAGAATATAGAATCATCCGCAAATAATAGGTGAGATAGAGGAGGTCCATTCTTAGAGAGTTTTATTCCTTTAAGCTGACCAGAATTTAAAGAGTTAGACACCAAGGCAGATAACAATTCAGCAACCATGATAAATAGATAAGGGGACAATGGGTCCCCTTGTCTGATACCTCTTGTGGGGTGAATGAAGCCACTGACCTCACCATTGACTTTGAATGAATAAGAGCAGGAAGTTATACAGATCATAATCAGATTAACAAAGGCAGCATCAAAACCCATCTGCAGCATTATCTTTTTCACACATATCGATTCAACACGATCGAAAGCTTTCACCAAGTCTAACTTAATTGCCATAAAATGATTTTTACCTGACTGGTGCCTGTTGATGAAATGAAAAGCTTCTTGGGCCAGAACTATATTGTCTAGCATTTGTCTCCCATTAATAAAAGCTGACTGAAAGTCACTGATGCATGAATGCAGACAAGATTTAAGTCTAGTAGCCAGTAATTTAGAGACAACTTTGTAGACCACAGAGCAAAGGTTGATGGGCCTGTACTGAGAAAGATAATCTGGGTTGAGACACTTAGGAATTAGAGTCACAATGGTGTGATTCCAATATTTGAGGAGAAAACCAATCTCAAAGAAACTTTTAATGGCAGCAATGAGGTCTGATTTAATAAGATTCCAGAATTTCTGATAGAATAAAGCTGTCATGCCGTCTTCCCCTGGAGATTTGTCAGTCTCAAGACTGAACAGTGCATCTTTAATTTCCTCCTCCAGAAAAGGCTTGAGGAGATCTTGATTCATGTCCGAGGATATTGAGAGTTGAATAAGATGGAGAATACTGTCCCCACCCCAGGAGCCTTCAGAAGAAAACAAGTTAGCATAGAAGCTTGTAATGTGATTTTGAATATCCTGCTGAGAAGTGCATTCCCTGTTGTGAGGAGTAAGC